ATGACAAAATAAAAGGACAACTGACCCCAAATGGCGACCTTCAGTCTGCAAGTAGTTTAATTTTTTGTTTATTAAATTACAGATCCCTGATTTTAATTTTTAACTTTCAAGAATTGCTAATTTGGAACAGTCGTACACTTATAAGAATTTAAACCTACTGAACCAAATTAAATCATGAAAACTCCCAAAAGAAATTCAATTTATATTAAAATATAAAAAAAGACTATAGATAATTAATAAAAAAAAAAATATTTAACAGAGAAATTACGTAGTTTGCAAAACTCGGTGAACGTGATGGATGGTTTTTAAAAAACTATCAAAAAAACAGCTTCTGAATTAATTATTATTCACTACTTGTTACATTTCATTATTCCTCACAAATAATTATTATTAAATTTAAATATCATTAATTCTGAACAGTGCAGAAATTTCTGGTGGTTTAATAGCTTCAAATTAAAGTTTGCAAAGCAAATTAACAATTAATTTCATCCGTTTTGAGAAATTAAAGGGCACCTTGAGGACGAACATTTGCAATTTGGGCGTCGGAACAATTGGAATGACATTACACCGAAAACCAAATAAAAACTCATTTGAATTTTAAATATAAAGTTCCCAGCCAGTCAAGGTCGGCTTGAACGTGTCTGCAAACGTCCGAGTTATGCAACCCCCGCGACGTTCACGTCGAGATTTTGCCTACCCGGCAATTTTTTTTCATTCAGTCAATGCAAGCAAAACGCCTCGGAAACTAATTTTGCGCCGAGAATAACTTTTTTCCCACGAAGGCGGCAAACTTTCCTAATCACCGGATCCTTTCCTGATTAAAAACAAGCGAGGCGGCAAAAAGCTCTTGTGTGCCCTGCGTTGGCGATGAAGCTGGTTGAATTAACATCAAAAGAGGCCCAAAGAAAAAGTGCGCGCCGGAATTTTCCACTCTCTCGAATTTTGGTCGCATTAATTTGCTCCAATTGGCAAAATCAGCTTTGTAAACAAGCGGGCTGGAACTCGCTGAACCGAGGTTCTCCCCTGCCGCAAGCGTCACTCTCGCAGACGAGAATCCAATGCGGCAATTTATGCCGAGTGCATTTTCTTCGGGAATCCGCCAGCAGCGAGAGAGGCCTTAAAACATCTGGTGCGCGGAAATTAACTTGAGCGAGAGAGGCTAATGTTATTATTCAACTGGTACGAGCATGTCTCAAGCGTTTCTATAAATTCGCTCAACTGCGGCTTCTTGAAATCGAAAATTCAATATACATTATTCTTAGGTTTGTAGTTTACTGCGGCCTGTATGTTGAGCAAGAACATGATCTAGTTGCAAAGTGGACATTTTAAGTCAAAAATTTTAATGAAAAGCTTTGAAAATTAAAAAATTTAAATTTATTTCCACATTTTCATGAAAAAATATTCATGTTTTACTTAACTACAGATTAAATTAAATAATATTTATCGACTAACATGGGATCTATGTAAAGGATCTTCACTAGCAAACATCCTGTTGCTTATCTGTACTAATCAAATTAAATGAGTTAATTTCAGATCAAAATTATTAAGTCTAAAATTTATAATTATTATCTTAGATCACATTTTTATTTTAAAAATTATATTTTAAATTATTAAGAGGAAAATATTTATATTTTTTTTTTTTTTAATTTAAAAACATATTTTTTTGTAAATTTTCAATAGATTTTTCTTAAATACTGCAATTTGATATGTGCGTTTTAATAAATTAATTAGAAAATATATATAGATCTTGCATCAAACATTTCATAATAAGCTTCAATAAAATATTACTTCTCAGCTCGTTATGTGTGATTGAAATATTAATTTTAATTTTACATAATTCCTAATTCATATTTTCTGTGGATAAAAATCTCATGGATAGATCATATTGTCATCGGAAAGAAGAAATGTGAATTATTTTTAAATGATCATTTCTCAAACCAAAGTAACTCATTTATAAAAATTTAATCAATTGATTAAAAAAAGTTTAACAAATGAACAAATGAATGTTCTTTTCAAAGCAATTAATTAAAATAAAAATCTTACAAAAGTAACAAAATAGTTCGTCCAGGCTTGAATTAAAAATAAAATATTTCAAAATAATACAAATTCATTGGTTATTTCGTAGCCGCAAAACAATAATCTACATTTGTTTTTGTTTTTTGCATGATGTCTAATAAAATTTACTTTGCTTGTTTTTTTTTCCATCTCGTATGTGCATACCTCACTAATAATAACAAAAAAATTGTGCCTTCCTGAACATAATTCTTGGCGCATTCCTTTTACTATTTCCCGAAAAACACCCAGTTTTTACGACTTTGGTCTGCTGACTTTTGCAGATATACCGAGAGTGTATATTGAATTGGAAAAGGGCGCCGGAGATCTGGTCCCGGGCAAAATAATTTGCGTCGTTAATTTTTATCACGCTCGAAAAACCCATCAAACAGCAGCCGGCCGCCGTTATAAAAAGGAGGCCGATAGCTTTCCCGGCGACTTTCCCGCTCCTTTCAAATCAATTGCTGCAAAGGGGATTTTGGCACGCCACGATTAAATTAATTGATGGGCCACCGCGTGCGTGTGTGTGGCGTGCGGATTAAGTGGCATTTGGCGCGAACTTCGCCTAATTCTGTTTAGATGGAGCTCGGCTGGCTTCTCTCGCCCCTAATCAAAATAAAGAGCACAACACACACTCGCACGTCCCAAATATACCCGGCGAGAAAAGCCAAGAGAATTCTTGGCTGCGGTTTTTTTTTATAAATCAAGGCGAGAAAGTACGAGAGAAGATGGATGAGGGTTTTTTCACCCTTCCAGCATCCAAAGTCAAAGTAATAATTATTATTCCAGTTTTTGATCCATCCCTTTTGTTTATCGAGCGACGAAATCGATTCTATTTTCGAGCGTGGGGCCTCAAATATTCTCCCGAGGGCTTGAAGGCCTGGCTGGACTTTCTGCCGTGGACAAATAAAATCACTTCTGTGTCCGTCGATTTGGCGTCGATGCCAAAAATTCCAAAACGTCCAATTCTTTCTGTTCTCACATACCCCGCCCCAAGTTGAAGATATCAATATGAGATTTACACCACTTGATCATCTTAGTTCCAAGGCAAGTTTCCTAAATTTTTATCAAAAAATTTTCAAAATTGCGGGTTTTATGGGACATTTTGAAAAAATCAAAAAACGCAATTATCTCGGCTTCTAGTGGTCGTAGAACAATTTTCCGGGTATGGTTGAGCTCGTCTCAGCAAGTTCTACAACTATTCTATAAAAAGCAAAATTGTAGGTCAAAGGTCAAGGTCAATTTTTGTGAACGTAAATTTTCAAACTCAAAATTGAAAACCAGCCGACCATTTTAAATTAATTTTGAGATAGCCAAACGATTCCTCGTGAAATTTTACGTAATATATGTCAAAACTGCGATGAGGTTATTTTTTGTTAAATTTAAAAATAAATAAGAATATTAAAAAACATGGTTTTTTGCAACTCCGAAGGCAGGGTCAACATTATAATCGCATTTAACTTCGTCCCTGATGATTTTAGGTAAAAATTGATAATAACCAAAGTTGATCCCCACGTCAAGACCAATCGAATGATGTATAGGTCAATGACCTTTGGTGACCTTCAAATTTTAAAACTCAAATTTGAAAACCAGCCGACCATTTTAAATTAATTTTGAGATAGCCAAACGATTCCTCGTGAAATTTTACGTAATATATGTCAAAACTGCGATGAGGTTATTGTTTGTTAAATTTAAAAATAAATAAGAATATTAAAAAACATGGTTTTTTGCAACTCCGAAGGCAGGGTCAACATTATAATCGCATTTAACTTTGTCCCTGATGATTTTAGGTAAAAATTGATAATGACCAAAGTTGATCCCCACGTCAAGACCAATCGAATGATGTATAGGTCAATGACCTTTGGTGACCTTCAGGTCAAAGGTCACCCAGGTCGGTGACCTGAGGTCACCTGACCTAGATGTATGATATGTTTTTGAAAAGGTCTTGTTGAGAAGATAATTTTGGTTACCATGATTTGGTCTGTTCATCGACTACAAGCCGAATAATTGTACTTTTCAAATTCACTTCTCATAAAATTGTGCATTTCATTAAACAAAAGTACAATCATTTGGTTTGTAGTCGAGGTACAGACCAAAACATGGTAACCAAAATTATCTTCTCAACAAGGCCTTTTCAAAAACATATCATATATCTAGGTCAGGTGACCTCAGGTCACCGACCTGGGTGACCTTTGACCTGAAGGTCACCAAAGGTCATTGACCTATACAACATTCGATTGGTCTTGACGTGGGGATCAACTTTGGTCATTATCAATTTTTACCTAAAATCATCAGGGACGAAGTTAAATGCGATTATAATGTTGACCCTGCCTTCGGAGTTGCAAAAAACCATGTTTTTTAATATTCTTATTTATTTTTAAATTTAACAAAAAATAACCTCATCGCAGTTTTGACATATATTACGTAAAATTTCACGAGGAATCGTTTGGCTATCTCAAAATTAATTTAAAATGGTCGGCTGGTTTTCAATTTTGAGTTTGAAAATTTACGTTCACAAAAATTGACCTTGACCTTTGACCTACAATTTTGCTTTTTATAGAATAGTTGTAGAACTTGCTGAGACGAGCTCAACCATACCCGGAAAATTGTTCTACGACCACTAGAAGCCGAGATAATTGCGTTTTTTGATTTTTTCAAAATGTCCCATAAAACCCGCAATTTTGAAAATTTTTTGATAAAAATTTAGGAAACTTGCCTTGGAACTAAGATGATCAAGTGGTGTAAATCTCATATTGATATCTTCAACTTGGGGCGGGGTATGTGAGAACAGAAAGAATTGGACAAACCTCATTTTTTTTTTAGCAATATTTTATATAAATTCGCATAAATTAAAAAATACTTTTCAACTTATTTAACGGTTTAATAATTATTACACTTTTGTGTAGATTTGAATCAAATTATGCTTTTTGGTTGATCAAAACTTTATTATATGGTCTTTCAAATATGATAATGAAGCAGTTAGACTTTGTGAAAAGTCTTCATCTTGAGTTGCTTCATCTTCTGATTATTACTCGTGACGCCATCAGAACGCAACTGACTCTCCTTCCTATCGGCAGCGTCGCACAAAATCTGCGTTCTGAAGTGATCAGAACACTCGATGGCCGCGGTTTCCAGTCCAAACTGACGTGGTAAGTTATTATTGATGAATTGCATACGAGGACGCGCTAAAACTGCCGATCGAAATACAACATGGGTCGATAATTTTTTCAATGATAACCACCTGTCCATAGGTCCCCCCATGTGGTTAAAAAAAATCCCAAAATTTTTTTCGAATTTTTAGAATTTTTTTTCAAAAAACTCAAAATTTGAGTTTTTAATTTTTCTATGAGAGATAAAAACTTCTAAACAACTTTACTAGACTAATTTTGCAACGCCCGACAACTTTTCAATGCTGACCAAACGTGTACAAACACGTTTAAGGTCACTTTCAGACAAATTTTGACTTTGACTGAAATTTTCGAAATGAACCCCATTGGATTATTTTGCAGGTATAGGGAAAAATGTAGCCCATCTAATTTTAAATCGATATGGTGATTTTCAAAAGTAAATTATTATTTTTTTTTCTTTAATTAAAAGGCGAACAAATAAAAACATTAGGTTTTGTGCGTTTCAAGCGCTGAAAATACGCTCATGGTCGGAGTTGGTTTACTTTAATTTTAAAATAATTTTAACAAGAAATAATATACATTTGAAAATTACCATACCGATTTAAAATTAGATGGGCTACAATTTTTCCTATACCACCGAAAAAATCGAAGAGGGCGTTCATTTTGAAAATTTAAGTCAAAGTCAAAATTTGTCTAAAAGTGGCCTTAAACGTGTATGTACACGTTTGGTCACTATTGAAAAATTGTTGGAAAACTAAAAATACGTCTAGATAAGTTCTATTTTCAAGTTAATTTTTAGCGCGAGAATTAATCGGTCGATCGAAGCAACTTCCGAAATTTCACTCCTCACTAGGAAACCCAAAATATAATATTTTTATTTATTCACTTTTTAAATAAAGAAAAAATAAAAATAATATATTTTTGAAAATCACCATATCGATTCAAAATTAGATGGGCTACATTTTTCCCTATAGCTGCAAAAAGATCCAAGGGGGCGTTCATTTCGAAAATTTCAGTGAAAGTCAAAATTTGTCTGAAAGATTTTTTTTAACCACATGGGGGTGACCTATGGACAGGTGGTTATCATTGAAAAAATTATCGACCCATGTTGTATTTCGATCGGCAGTTTTAGCGCGTCCTCGTATGAAATTCATCTATTATATTTTAGGGTCTTTTTCAAAACACTTCAATACTTTTACACAATGAAACTGAAAAGCGACTAGTTTTAAAAAAAAAAAAAATCTTGTTGATCTTGTTATTTTTCAAGCTGTAAAATTTTTTTATTGAGCAGAGATCTCGAAATAAGTATTTATATCCATGGAAGTATAAAAAAAATTGTAATTTCAGATGATTTTATTCATTTGAAATTGCTAGCAAAATTTCAACCGCCATGACAAATTACAATTTTCAGATTCATAAAATTGCTATGAGCCAACAGAAAATAAAAATCTATAACAAAAAGGTTGTTTTTATCTTGTTTTAAATTTAAAAAAAAATCTAACATCTATTTTTTGGAGGATAAATTTGTATACTCTTCATTAATACTTTCGTCATGCAAATAATAAAAGATATGACAATTGGAAAATCTAGGAAGTAAAATCTATAACCCAAGTGAAATCTGGTCCTACAATTCAATTAGTTATAATTATTTTCATTCTTTTTCAGGGATTAATCGATTATTCTCTTTTAATCCACTCACAATCAGATACCATGAAGGATTAAACGAGATTTTTGTGAAATAAAAACCATTTCTGATGCTCTGATGGCGAAGATAAATACACTTTCATAGGGAAATTATCAAATGTGATGCAAATTTAGAAAAGAACGAAAATTGTAAATTGCAGAAGCATATTATAATGAAATTGAACGAATATATGTAAAAACAATGTATCAACGTTAGTAACTAAATGCCCTATACTGAAAATATTATTTAAAACATTAAGGTCCTTTCAGTGAAAATCGTAGGTAACTAAATTACCAATAAAAATTACTAAATTACTAAATTTGCCAATATTTGAAAAAATGACCACAAAATAATTCCAACCCATTTTTTGCTTTTAATTAGCCATTAGAAGAGCTTCTATGAAAAAATTTTCCGACTTTTCTGGAAAATGGCTGAGTTATTAAGGGGTTTGCTTTTCCGCTTGTATCTCATTAACAACAAAAAACAGCATATATTCTGAAAGCTGATTAAATTTCCTATGTTTTTTGCATTGAGAATTTTTTTCTATGAAAGGGTTAAGTACCCTGATATCAGGGTCAAATAATTTAGATGCCTGCCTCTGAAGGTATGCAACCGGAAAAATAAATCTGAGATAGCCACAATTTGACGTCACTCATAGGCACAAACTTCCCCAAAGGAAATTATTTTTGCATTTTCCATTTTTGAGAAAATCAATTGATTGCCGGTAATCGGTTATATGCAAAGGATGCCGGCCATAAAAAACTGGTTTTTGTTCGGCGCATATGTGAAGTTTCAAAAAGTAAAATTTTTTTTTGTAAGATTTCATCAGCATATTATCACGGAAAGGACCTTAAAATGCATTTTTCTTTTGTTTCAATCTTCAGAAGTCTAGTGCATCGATCAATAAAGCTTGGATAAGAAAAGATTAAATTTTAAATTTTTTCATATAACTTTTATTTAGGAATATTTTCATTTCTGCTATTTTTTCAGATGAAAAAATTCTACCGTTTTGAAATCGCCGTTGAAAAAAATGTCGCATAAAAATGTAGAATTGCCTGAAGCCATCAAAAAAGGTCCGAGTGATTGTTTTATTTATCAATTCATGAGATGATTGAAAATTCCATGTACAAAAAGGTTGGAACCAAGTTTCTCACAAAGGACGTGCGAGACTAGGGATTATCCAAACAACAAACGGGGAAAAAAATGCAGACAAGTATAATTATCCATCCCCCTTTTCAAGCATAATAAAGAAATATTTTAAATAAATTTATTCACTCTGAAGCGTGTTCGTGCTCGTGGCCCACTACGACTTCAAGGGTGGTGCCGGGACGTGGCCTCGTAGGGGAAACGACGAGGATGTCGAGAACCTGAGAAAAACATTTGGTGAAAACAGAAACTGCCGATTCAGAGATTTGCAGTCGCCAACGAAAGAGGTTCTTTTTGCTCTGCTGGCCGCCGAGCAAAAACTAAAGAGATTCTTTTCTTCTGAAGGTAGAAATTTTGTTCGTATAAAAAAAGGTCTAACGGTAAAAACAGACGCAGAGCCATCGGTTTTCATTTTCATCATTTTGTCGCACGGAGGTTCCGAGGGAAAGATTTACACAGACACAAAGATCGGCCCTGGACCGAATGATTACGACTCCTTCAACACCAAGCAATTTTTTGCAAACCTGGAAAAAACGTTTCAGAAATCTTTGAGGCTCATTTTCCTTGGGGTAATTTGAACAATTCATTATTTTTAGTTTTAGAAAAAATATAGAAATTTAATTAACCCCACTTTCAGCCGTGCAGATGTGAACTCACAATTGGAGATGCAAATCCCACAGGAAACCAAAATGAGGCAAAAAACTACTCGAGCAAAGTTTCGTTTGAGCCGAAAATGTACAACACGATTATTTTCTGCTCGACTGTTGAAAGTGACTTGGATTTTTACCTAAAATTTTAAACGTAATCAAGATAATTTTGTTAGCTACATCCGCGAGCAGAGATTTTAACAAGGGGACTTGGCTTGTCCAGTGTTTGTGCGACCAACTCAACCTGATGATAGAAAACGAGAGCATCGCTCATTTCTCCACTGGAATGCAAAATAGAATTCACGAATGGGCGATAAAAGCACAGCCAAGTTTTCTCACTGGAAAGCCAACGGAGCAAACAATGGAGACCAAAATCTTTCCGCTGGATAGAAACTTTACCTTTTCCGCAGTGGAGAACTGGTCAGAAATTTATTTTAATCACAAAATATTGTTTTATTAAATTTCTTGTATTTTTAGTGGCGAAGCAGCAGATTTCAGATCAGGCCGGAGCCAATCAACGCTGGACTTTGATTGGATGAATCCGCAAACAAAGTCCAGATTCAGAGGAAAACTCGCAGCGATATTTCACGACGGAATCCAAGAAAATGCCGCGATTAAAAAATTAGAGTTCAATCTCATTGAAAATCTTGGATTTGAAACTAAAAAAATTAAATTACACCCTGACATTGTGCAGCACTACTTCCAGGATTTGCGTGGGAAATTTTTTAAATTGTCATTTGATTTTCTAAAATAAATTATTTCAGAGGGAAAATCGTGGAGCGATTACGGATGCTTCGCAGCGTTCTTTTTTGCTCATGTCACAGAGGAAGAAAATCAAGTTTGCGTCAACCTGAGTGGTAATAATGAGCCAGTGCCGATCGGCGAGTTGATTCACTCGCTGCTTGGCCCCGAGTCACAAGAGTGGCGAGGAAAACCGAAGCTCTTCTTCCTGATTGACGTAGGGACAGCGACTGAGGATGCTTCAGGGGTTGATTCTAAATATTTTGATTATATAACTTAAATTGACTGTTTTAACTTTCAGAAAGCTCCCAGTCAACCGAAAATAGAAGTTCTACAGGCCACCCGTCATAGCGGCTGGATGCTTTTTATTCTCCGAAACAAACGTGAAAGAATTTTATTAATTTAATCCACAAACGATGAATATTTTTTTAAACTTTTCAGATCTTCTGCTAAAACTTTTAAAGATTTTTGAGAGCAAAGAAATCAAGGGTGAGCGGAGTCTTCAGGAATGCCTGGGTGACCTGCTCATTCAATCAAAAGAACAGAGGGAACAAATTATTCCTCGAGCGATGTTCGTCTCCACTTTGCCGCACTTCCTGCATTTCCCGCAGAATTTCGTCAAACCAAACTTCAAAGTGAAAATCCAAGAATCTGAAGAAAAGAAGCATGTAAATTTTGCAAAGTTAATTGAAAAGGCAATGAAGGAAGAGCAGATTTGGCTTTTGTCGTCCCTTCCGGGCACAGGAAAGTCGACCGTGATGATTGAAATCGCTCTTGAACTTCGAAGAAGACTTTGCGGTGTCAAAGTTTTCAATATCAGCCTTTTGCAAGACGTCAGAAGTCTTCTTTCAAATAAAAAATTTTCTCCCTCACTGGTCACTGTGATTTCTTTGGCAACTCGAGTTGACGAGAAAGAAATCGAAATTTTAATCAAGGAGAAAAGAATCATCTTGATGTTTGACGGATTTGACGAGATTTGCCCATTTCGGAGGGATGCGGTGCTGAATTTGCTTCTGAAAGCGGTCGAAAGAGAAATTCCTGTTTGGATTTCGACGCGACCGCACGAAGAAGATGCGATTACAAAGAAACTGGGTGGTCAGAAAATCTGCACAGCCACAATTTTGCCTCTTAAAAAAAAACAACAAATTGAACTTTTGAAGATGACTTCAAAAAGGGATGTCGGAGACTTTCAGAGTTTGTTCATGAAATTCAAACATAACCGATCTGACGATATCTTAAGCAATCCTCTTCACTTGACAATGATTGCTCAATTAGAGGAACTATTTTCAGGAAACGATTGTCAAAACTTGTTTGACATATACGAGAAAATTGTGACTAAAAAAGTGCACGACATGCTGGTACTCGATTATGTTAAAGGAAGTAATGTATACCAGGAAAATTGGGAAAATTGTGAGAGCGAACTGCAAAATATTTCACTTTCTTATCTAAATAACATGAGTGTGAAGGACTTGCAATATACCCGCAATGGAATCGTGACACTGATTGACAAAAAAGTGGTTTTCGTACACCAAACGTTTGCCGAGTTTCTCGTTGCTCAAAGTTACATCGACTGCCTAAAGGAACAAAAATGTAAAATTGATGAAATGCCATTCGATTTATTAGAACATAAATATCAGCAAGTTAGAAAATTCGTGGAAATGAAAATATCCAAGTCACAAGATGAAGAAGCTCCAATTTTGAAATCATCTCTCAAATTTGTTCTGAGCGAAAACCTTACGAGAGAGAATATTGTTGAAGTTCTTATCCACGAAAACCTGTCGACGATGTTTTCTCTTTTTGAAAACCGAATCACCTTTGGCAAGAATGGTGCCAAGGTCAAATTTCATTTTGAAAATACCCATGATATTTTAAAAGAGGCTTGTTGGAAAAGCGAAGAAATTGCCCTGAAACTTTTGGATCTTGGCGCATTTGAAAGTTTGGAATTTCAAAAAATAGAAAAAATCACAGATATACTTGAAGGTGCAATTCAGAACAATTTTGTGCGTGTTATTTCAGCGCTCCTAATTAAGTGTTCCGCGCACAGTTCAATTGACGAATACCAAGCGAATGGTAATGTTGGATGGAAAGCACCTCACAAGAATCACCATGAGATGCTGGTATTTCAAAGAGAGTTGTTTGGAGCACTTCAAACTGCTGTGGATCACAACAGCGTCGAGTGCGTTAAACTTCTCATTCAGCACGGCTTTCCTACTGCCTGTTTGAATTTTGATCGTTACAAAAATGTTTATATGGAAATAGGGACGGCGAGAGCACTTCTTGGGACCAAAAGCGAGAAGCCCGAAAAACTTGCACCCAGACTGTTTCAACGTGCTATTGTAGGGACCAGTGTTGAAGCGGCTAAATTTTTGCAGAAAGAATGCAGAGGGGGGATTGAGAAGTTGGTTTTTTACGACGGCAAGACCGCCCTTCATGTGGTGGCAGTGATAAACGAAATGTCCAAACACTCTGCCGCGTTGGAAATGTGTCAGTGGCTGGTGGAAGAATGCGACTTCAAAATCGGGGACAAGGATGATAAAGGATGGAACGCTTTGCATTACGCAGTTGTAGGAGGAAATTTGGAATTGGTGAAATACTTCCTGGAAAAGGATCCTACGCTCATCAAATCTGTTATTGATGATACTCAAGGCCAGAACCTCCTTCACTGTGCAGTTAATTGGAGAAGAAAAGCAATGATTGAATATCTTTACGGTCGAGACGGCGATTTGATTAAGCAAATAACGAAGGAAGGCGAAACGGCGCTTCATTTGGCGGCAAAGGAGGGGTATCTCGATGAGTGCGTGTGGCTCGTGGAAAATGGGGTTGATTTGGACGCCGAGGATGACAAGGGGTGGAATGCAGTCCACTGTGCTGCTAAAAATTGGATTGGGAAAGGAGGAAAAATACTTATGTATCTGCACAAGGAAAAACCTGAACTGATCGAGCAAAAAACGAGTGATGGAGAAACGGTGCTTCATCTCGCGTGCACAAGCGACAAAATTGACTTGGAAACAATTGAATGGCTGTTGGCACAGGGTTTGGACCCAAGTGACAAAAACAGAAAAGGATGGAACGCTCTCCACATTGCAGCGAGTGAAGGGGGGATTGGAAAGATTAAGTTCATTCACGAGAAATATCCTGGTCTAATTGAATCTGTGACGAACGACGGCGAGAACGCGATGCACTTGATGGCATCAAATATTTGTGATGTAGGTGGATTAAAAGTACTGCATGCGCTTTGTGGAAAACTGGTCAAGCAGAAAACAAAGACAAATAAAACGGTGCTCCACTGCGCAGCGCAATTAAGTGACGAGAAAGTTTTCAAATGGTTGGTTGAGGAAATTGAGTTGGACATAAAATCTGAAGACAACAAAGGCTGGAATGTTGTGCACTTCACGGCAAATAATGATTATAGTTATGTTTCAGAAATTTTGGAATTTATTAAAACTAAAAATTCCGGACTAATAGTGAAAACGACAAAGAGAAACGAAACTGCACTGCACATCGCAGCTATGAAAGGAAATTATGATCAAAAATTCAAGTGGCTTCTACAAAACGGCGTTGATCCTGTTGTGAAAAACGTGGATGGCAAAACCGCATGGCAAGTGTGGCATGACCGCAAAATTTTGAAGGTTTGAAGCAAATATTAACGGAATGCTCACAACACCCAAGTGATGAAAGCCGCAATATACTGTTCATTAAAAAGCTTTGCACTGTTGAAACAATAACAGCAATATTGATTCATATGACGCACAATGAACACTTTATTCTAAATGAGTATGCTTTTTAACTTCCAATTACAAAATGTTCTTAAAAAATCTAAAATCTATTACTCATACAAGGTAAAAAAAAAAAATAGAAAATAAATTCCTTTCAAAAACCATAACAGTTTTGTCTCATTATAAAAAATCCATTTATAATATATGTTATATAAAAAATTTTACTCATTACGAGTGTAGAAAAATAATTTAAAATTAAATATATAATATAAAGTTTTAATTAAGATTGGAATTTCTGCAATGATAATTCCTCGCCGTCATTACGTGGATGTGGATTGAAAATAACGCACTTTTGGAAGAAAACTGCTCGGGCGTAAGACCTCGAGTTCAGAAAGTTTTGGGAAATTGCTTATCAAGCCGATAAACCAACTGAAGAGTTAATTAGCCAGGAAAGGGATGTTTTGCTTGAAATACCATCTCCACTTTTACCTCTAAGTGTTTCAAAACTTTAAACAAAAAATCTATTCATTCAGTATCTTAAGCTCAGGCAATTTTGAGTTGAAAAGAATGTTTAAATTATTCACCTTTTTATTTTTCATTTTGTAAATAAATTATTGAGGGTTATTTTAGAACTTTTAATACAAATTTGAAGCATAATAAAAAAATTACACAAAATCCTCGTTTTCCAACTATTTTTCCTATAAAAAACGGAATTCAACAGACCAAAGAGATTCTGAAAATAAAATATAACTTTCAACCTTTTTAACCGTGATTTTTTATGATCTTTTTTATTACAGAAATAGTGAAGTTTAACAGACCAAGAGAAACACGTGGAAATAAAATCATTTGAAACGCAGTCCGAAGGGAACAAAACATTTGAAAATGAAAACAGGGCGTTATGGCAGACGCATGCGGCGTTTTGTTTTTCCCACGCACACAACCCGTCGTGCAGAATTCCGTGGCCATAAAATTTCATAAATCCGCAACTGCAGAGAGTGCGGCGCTCTCGAGCAGCCTCAAAGTCATTCTCGCATACTTTTTCATCTCGCTGCTTTTTCATCATCCCGGCAGCAACTTTTTTTTTTATTTAATTTCCGCTCACTGAATGGACACTAATTTTGTTTCGGGCAATTTTCTCAGCTCACCTCCAACGAAGCGACAATGGTGATGTCAAAAATCACAATTCGAAGAAAAATATTTTCGTAACTTTTTCGTACAACGCAATTTGATTAAAAACATTTAGAAAGGAGACTTTCTGGAACATTTTAAAAATTTGATTAACACTCCACTTAGCCCATTACGAGGAGCAAATGAGTCATTCTCGTTGGGAATTGAATCTCTCGTGAGATTATTTAATACGTGACGTCACGGCCTGTAAGTGAGTAAAAAGTGGTCCAGCTGCAGCAAGCGATGATTTCACCAAACCTAAGACTGAGCACGGAGAGCAGAGACGTAATGGCCGACATAATCGAGTGAAAAAGCGGGGGCCCATAATATGTCCGAAATAATTGTGTCCGAATCCGGAAAAATAAAGTGTCCGAAAATAATGTGTCCGAAATATTTTTGTCCGATTTTTTTCCAAATTTTCTCCGAAAATACTTCATCCGAATTTTTTTTCTCCGAAAAATGGTTCATCCGAAATTAAACTGTCCGAAATTGAGTAGTATGGTAATGTATAGTATTCTTATTTATTTAATTCACAGCCCGTTAAAAATAACGTTTGTCACAGAGTTCCAGATTCAGTCGAGGTTCAAGGGTCTCTAGTCCGAGTTAGAGTCGTGCTGGTTTTCCTGACGCCGCTTTGACCTCTGATGTTGGACTGGGTTTTGTTAAAATTAAAAAAAGGTAAAAGTTATATATAAATAAATAGATATAAATTCCTGTCTTTCTGCAACCCTCAAAAGGATTGTACATTCTGTATGAAATCCTCTCCAGGTAAAGCCTGATGCTAATGCTCCCGTCAGCAAGTCTGTTTGTTTGTTCCTTGATGAATCTGTCTTGGTGAAAGTATTTAAGTTTTCTTGTCCTTGCAGGCAACGTTTAATGATTCCAAATCAGAGAGTGCTTTCATTGTCAATGCCTTCAGTGCCGCAATGTATGGCCAAATTCCTGGATGGGCAGTCTTCACAATCCCTATTAGCTTTTTGTGGAAAGACTCTAAGCTGTTATTAGTCCTATGCTTGTGGTTGTGTCTAATCGATAGCACTGCGGTTCACCATCATCAACCTTTTTGCCTCTCGCTGTACATGAAGGATATTTGGAGCACTGCAGGTACTTTGTTGTCACCTTCGGGGTTTTCACTGATCTGTTGATATGCAGCAGGAATCCATTGTGAAGAAGAACTTCCTTTTTATGTTTTTGGACATTTTGTATTTACAGTCTCACTCACCTCAAACCAACACAAAACAAACCCATAACCAGCGGCTGGCCAGGGAGCAGGTGGGAGTGCGTGGAAAGGAGTGCGCATGTTTCTGGTGCGTTTGAGGGAGACTAACTACAGTGAATTACTTCGGAGAAAGTTTTTCGGAAAAATTAAGATTCGGAGGAAAGATATTCGGACAAATTTTGGTTCGGATAAAAGTTTTTCGGACATATTATATTTTTAACTTCGGATCAAATTTTCGGATGAAAGTTTTCGGACAAATTCCAGAAAAAACTTTCGGACACAATTATTTCGGACACATTAAGGCCCCTCGAAAAAGCTATTTGTGTGTGTAGTTGGTTATTCATCTGGCGAAGCGGAGTGGGGCCGATGAATGTGATTTTCAGAGGTGCCGCACCCAAATGCCGGAAATGTGACATCAGCACTGGAAGGATGCGCGTCCAGAGTCGAGAGAGCTTCATAACAATGCCTCTATAATAGCAGATAGATAAATACTAGAAATTTGACATTGAGTTTTTTTTATGCATCTCAAAAGCGTAGGGAAATAATTATTAAAAGTGGACAGCGAAGTTTTATTTTGAAGAGCCATGTTAATTTAAAGGTAATTGATTCTTGTAGGGAATCTATCTGAATCAAAAACATATAATTAAAATTATGTCAAAAAATATCTTGATATTAAAAATTATTAAGATACATGCATAGTTATATTTTATAATTAATGCAAATTTAATTTAACGTTAATAATTTTGTATTATTAAATATTAATTTTAAATATTACAGTTAAAAGTGTTTTTGTCATTGTTTTTTTTATTTAAACTCCTTAAACTTAAAATGTAGTTTTATTATGATTTAAAAATTTTTGAAAATATATTATAAATAATCATAACGCCATTAGTTTTAATTTAAGAATTAAAAAAATTTAATGATTGGTTCCCCCTCGTCCTGTATGGGTTTTTTTTAAGACTTGTTATAATTTTCAAGTTCATTCAAGTCATCAAAAATTCCTAATAAAGATGATGAAAATGAGGAAATTTGATCGATCAGGAAGGAAATGTGATTAAATCTTCAAAGCCTCTATTTATAATCGCGAAGAGCACAAATTTTGAAATTCAGAACAAATTAAATTTTAAGGGAAAAATGACGTTTGTTTTGTTTTTTTATAGTACTTCTGCCCTTAAAAATAATCAAATTCTTATAACAGCAGTAACACCATTATTAAAATTGTATTGTACTTTCAAAATCTTTATTTGCAAGTACGTTTCATTATTAAAAAGGCTATTTTTTACCTAAAAACACTCGAAATATGAAGAAATTTTTCCCATCTTATTTATAAAGAAAAGAAACTAGCCCGAAAAGAGACTAGCTTTGCAAAAAAGCCATTTCAAAATGCGTTAGGGAAGAAAATTGAGTCCCTTTTTCTCCTTTTGAGTTTTCCATCAGTTGGCAGAACAAGCGGAAACTTCTTGAGACAATCCCTAGACACGGCATAAAAGACGCGGAAAATGTGCCCTAAAAAAGCACAAGGGCGAGGAAAATGCGAAAGTTTTTCAGCCGTGTTATTCTTCTTCTTCTAGTGCAGCGCGCGAGGGACGCGCTCTGAATTTCTCTGGAAAATGTGTATCTTGCGGGACAAAAATAAAAACGTCATATCTCTCTGAAGAGCATAAAGCAGGGCAGACCCCTACTTTTCTTGCGCAGTGCGAAAGAAAGAAAAATTTACTGCGGCCTTGGGAATCTCATCTCGAAACAGCACGAGGCGCCTCTTTTCGCCTCCCTCAACCCACTAATGCAGATTTAATGATAAGGGCAGTGAAACAAACACGATTTTTACTATTTTTTAAGAAGAATAACCATTATTTTAGGTTTAAAACGTTCACCACTTTCAAAATTAATAAAAAATATAGATTTGTAATTTTTTTTATCGTTTTGAATCAATTTAATTTAAATTAAAATGAGAAAATTGGTTTTTCACTGCCCGAAAAAGGGGCGAATCACGGCTGTAAAAGTCGTCGTTCCGACTGCAGTCGAGCGTGCTTTCAGTTTAACAATCAAATTAGCTGCCCGGCCAAATCGTTCCCTCCCTTATAAATCTTTGATTAGCGACTCAGCCCTGCTGCACGTTGAATACGTTCGTCTTTTGAACGGACGCCACGCCCATTTTATGTATTCCGTACATTATTAATTAACAAGTTTTGTAGTCGAAGCTGCTGCTCGCTCTCTCACATTGCCGAGTCAATTCAGAAGCCCTCGCTGCGAAACTTTTAGATGGAGAAGTTCAACTCACTTAAGGATGAATATATAAGAACAGACTCACTTCCAAGTTTTAACCCACATTCTAAACAGATTAAGCTGCACAACAAGATCATTCTTAGGATAAAAATATGTGCACATTAATTCCAGACAGTGAACCTCTAATCTAAACAATTCTTTTGTTTGTTTTTTATTTCAGAAAAATAATTTAATTTTATACTGGCACAATTTGGAATAGTTTTGATAGATCTTTTGAATTTAATTTGTGTTTGTTTAATAATTTAACTGATAGTTAAAAATTTACCAAGCGTTAACAATAAATAAATAATACAATAAACCACTAAAACTATTAATAATTAAGTGATTTAAAAAATATTTATACTTTATATTTTTTAATTTATTATATTAAATTTTATATTATAATTTAATTTTTAAATAACAGTTTAAATAGCTTAATGATATTTTTAATTGTTACTTTTATTTAAAATGTATTTTTATTAAAATAAAATATTTATTATAA